CGAAAGTAGAGATATAGAATTGCTATGTTTTACCCAGATTATGTATTGGATTCTTAGAGCCAATTGCTATGTATATTATCAAATAATAATTATATTTAATATTAACCAGATGGAAATAACATATAGCATGAAAGCATATAATTATTACAGAGTACTTCCATTGCTGATCTAAGCTGCAAGACTTTTTCAAAGTAGTTGACAATTTTCCATTATATGGCATCTGTCCATAGTGATCTCAAAATGTGATATCAACTTGAAGAAATGTTACGTGAGTTTCTAGACATTCTCTGTTTCTGTATTGTGGGTGTTCTGTTTTGTTCTTATAGGGTCACTCAATTCTGTATCATTTTGTTTGATATCAATTTTGCAGAGATTGAGGAAGCTAATCAAGTTTGGGGAGTACTGTGTTTCACTACCATTGTGTTCTTTATGTTCTTCATTCTTTTAGTATATATGCTTTTGTTTATAGTGAGATTTAATTTTCATAAATAACCCTCTTTTCTTTTTTTTAAACTTTATTCTTCATTATTTCAAATAAAGATGAGGACATAGAAAAAAGTGTTGATTTCGAAAATTTGTTTTATATTACATTAATTTGGAATTTTAAGCCTTAACAAAGTAATAATTTACTTTGATATATATATATTTTTTGCAATATATATATATATATATATATATATATATATTGCAAAAAATTAGACCAATGCAGATTAATAAAGTTATCTAAGACAGTGCTTTGCCTCAAAATTAGAACATGCTCACTCACATAATTTTTTAACACAGATGTCAACACTTCATAGTTACTTGGTGGCATGACTTTTCATTTCACTCTTTCTTTCTTATAAAAGTAGAAACTGAAAAGCAAGCTAGATCCAGGATGACACAGAAAGTGTTTGAGCGAATTATTGCATACCAAGATAAAGATAGTATCTTTTAACTCATTCACATATAACACTTTATTGATATGTAGAGACTACCTACAAGGAATATGAATATATTAACTATAGAACTCAATCAACTGATGATTATAAATTGTTTTAATAATTATTTCTTTAAAAGCTTTTTGAGTCTTTTGATTTGGTACAAATTGACACTTTTAACACTTTTGATCTGAGTTACTTAAGATAGTTTTAAAGGTTTTGTCTTTTCTTATTGTGTTAACATTTGTGCATTCACTTAGTCCACTGAAAAGTATTAAATTAAGTCAACGTAGGCAACTGAGGTTTTTCATCTAACACTAATATTTCATGCTTTCCTTAAGAGTCATCTTAAGAAAACTAAATTATTTCTGTTTTAGTCAGCTTTTTTGAAGCTGCAACTAAAAGTTTATTTGGTGGTTCATGATTTCAGAGGTCTCAGTCCATGGGAAGCCAGCTCATTCTTCAGGGATCTAGGTGAGGCAGAAGAGCATTGCAGAAGAATGTGGCAGAGAGAGAATGGCCACATGATGATAAGAAGGCAGAGACAAACTCCACTTGCCAGATAATACACACACACACACACACACACACACACACACATGAAAGTCATGCCCACCATGACCCACCTCCTCCAGCTACTCCCTTCCTACTTTCAGTTACCACTCAGTTAATCCCTCTCAGGGGACTTATTCACTGATTGGGTTCACCCACATGGAACTGCCCACCAAAGCTGCAACCAAAAGTGGAGATGTACATAGAAGATGTGACAGCACCAACAGCACCCAAATCAGCCCAACCCTCATACCACACAGATCCAATTGTGGCCACTGTAAATCCACCATGAAAAGCTTGAGGGAGAGGCCAGTTGTAATTTCTAGAAAACACAGTACAGGACGTTCAGAAATTCAGTGGAACTTGCTGGTCCCCATTGCTGTTTGTGCTCAGATCACAATTTTTTGTTTCTCTCTTCCACATCCTTTCTAGAACTTTCTAATTCTTGGCCATTACTTCAGCTGTACTCTAAGCTGTTTTCTTGGAACAGATATCCACACCTTCACTACTGAGGCCTCAGAGACATTATCATAGAGAAACATTGAGTTACTTCTCTGAATTCTCTCCCCATTATGTAGAGGGCTAGTAATCCTGCCCTTCAGTGTCACAGGGATGACTGCTATTATAATTCCTTTCCTTGCTGCTGTGACACCACTATGGAAATCCTAAAGTGACAAATGGGCAGCCACTGTCCGATTTTGTGGAACCTTTCCTGTATTTCCATGTGCCCCTGTCCACCTACTCTTCAGGATTAAAGATGTCTATACAGCAGATCCTAAAGGTGCCTAGACCTAATGCATAAATTCTGCAAATGAGTTCATGGAAATGATGTTGAAAGAGGCTGGTAATTGCTTGGCTTATGGACCTGTTTCCCACTTTTTGGAAACAGAACCTATGGATTTCATGTCAGTTTCTGTAAGCTTACGTAAAGGGTGAGATAGTAAATATTTTTGGTTTTACAAGTGATCATGGTGTTTCTTTCAATGACTTTGCTGTCGAAGGGCAAAAACAGCCATAACCAATACAAAAATATAACTCCATGAGGACCTATATCTTAATGCAGTGGTCCCCAAAGACATCAGGGATAATGACTCAGTTATTGCATGTCATCATCTTGCCACCAATTTGCTGACTGGTCTGGTTTCCTGGAAGGGCAGGACCACACTGAAATATTAACATCAGCAACAGAGGTGGCCCTCAATCAATCAACCTTGGTGCCAGCCCAGGCTCTTGTAGGATCCATTGACAGCCTCCATCCCTGCCCCCTTGACAGCTCTTTTCTAAAGCCTACTAGAATCAGAAAAGATATCTCAAAAATCAGTATTACTATTTGTCAAAAAAATGTAAGTACAAGAAATTTTAATAAATTTCAAATCTTAGGTGCATGAAGATGATTTCATAAACAGAGAAAGTGATATATTTATTACCTCTTTAACACCTTTCCACATTACCTACATGTTCTTCCCTTCTTCTCTCCCTCCCCAACACAGTGAGGAGCATTTCATAGCAGCAGTCTTCTTGAAATCTTGATTGGCATCCAAAGAAGAGTAACTGGAGAATAAATATCAACTGATATTTCATTTATTCCTGCATATAGATCAGTTCCCTTCCTTTATAGATTACTTCTAATATGCAAGGAAATAAAAACAAATTACACAAATATATATATATATATATATATATATATATGTGTGTGTGTGTGTTCTTACAGAAATTTCTATTAATTAACATTTTATTTTTTAACCTAAGAAAAATAATATCACACTTCTTTAAATGTTCCTCAATTTAGAAGTTTGATAAGATGGTAAATTTATTCTGTGTTTGTTGACTCAATAAAAAGTGTATAAAAAGGAAATTATAATGCAAAGAATAAATCAAATATGGTACAATTAAATGTCTAATAAATCCCAAAGAAGATATTGTTAATTTGAGCTATTTTTTAACCTGACAGATATATATTGTATATAAATATGCATATACATTTCTCTCTGTGTGATGATGTATATATGTAGGTAACTGTAAGCACAGATACAGAAAAATTTTACCAAAAGTAGAAAAAAATATTTGACATTGACATTTCCACAAAAACTTGGTAAAACAGATATTATTCGATACATTAATCAAATGTCATAAAAAGCAATATTCTTTAAAGTGTAAAGATAAACATCTAAAGTCAGCTCCCTTGACTGACATTGCAGCAACATGGAAAAGCACCCAATCGTGGGTCAATTATATTCCTAGAGAACCAAAGTCACAGGCATCTACATTGGTGAGTCCCTAGATCTTTTCATTCCTGTATTTCCTTCTGCAAGAGGGATCTAGACACAATGTGATACCCAAAATTTGATCCTAGAACAATAAATGAACATTAGTTTAAAAAAGCGGGGGGGGGGGAATTTGTAACAATTGTGCAATTTGAATGCAAATATGTCCCAATGTTAATTTCTGACCTTTGACTGGTGGAGCTTGAAATATAAAAAGTTAAAATTAAATGAATTATGGCCAAGAGCACATGGGAGAATTCCACACTCTCTTTGCAGCTTTTCTGTAAATATAAACTATTTAAATATTTAAAAGCTTTTTAAAAATGGAAGAGGGAATTAAGCATGTAGCTTTCCACCAAAAAATAAAAACCCGAGCTGCAATGATGTTCTGATAATAGCAATGGACAGGAATATACATAAATCATTTTAAAAGAAACCCATAGAGAGAGGAGGAGGAATCAGTGATTGAGAAGGTGCATGCAGGACTCTCCTGTCAGGTCACATTCTACTTCTTGGCCTGGACTGGTGGCTGCACATGTGTCATCATTTTATGGTAACTCACTAAATTGTATTTTGTTGTTGTTGTTATATTGCTCTTCAATAAAAGAGAAGTTCTTTTTTTTTAAAGAAAGAGGAGATTTTTTTAAGAGAGAGTGAGAGAGGAGAGAGAGTGAGAGAGAATTTTTTTTAATATTTATTTTTTAGTTCTCAGCGGACACAACATCTTTGTTGGTATGCAGTGCTGAGGATCGAACCCAGGCCACACGCATGCCAGGCGAGCACGCTACTGCTTGAGCCACATCCCCAGCCCCAAAGAGAAGTTCTTAAACACAGTCATAGTACTGGTAAATAGTTTTCTATTACAGATAAAGAATGAAATGAGTATACAGAAATAAATTAAATGTACAAGCATTGAATGGGATCTGTGTAGGCAAAGATATCCAAGTTATTAAACCACAAGCATAACATTTTCAGAGCTGAAAGAGCATTAGAAATGGCTAAATTCAGCCCTGACACCCATATACTGAGAGATTAAAACCTTTGCTAAACTGTCAGAACAACCCATTTTCAACTTAAATAGTCTGAAAATTGAGAACTCAAAATTACTCAAAACTCAACTGTAAATTAAAAAGTCAACATGATCTTTTGAAAGTGCCCAAACATTTCTCCACAATAAGTACAATTTTCACTGTAGCAGAATATAGCATGTTCATATTGATTAGTGCACAATGACTCAATTTATGAGGGAGAAAATATAGGCTCAGAATGTTTGTTGACCTTGAAAGTTTTCATACCAGCTATAAGCCCAGGGAACTTGCTGTATCTCATTACAGTATTATGTAAACCCCTGATGACACTGGACACAAACTCACATTACATAGTCAGGACACTTATTGCTGGTTGTTGTATTGAGTTCTGGACAGAAGTTTCCTCCCAAAAACTCATTATGCTGCAAAGCCTGTGTGACACAAAGATTAAGACATGATGATTTTAAATTTCAAAAACTTTCCAAAGAATTATCACAATGAAATCCTCAAGCTTAATCTTTACTAGTCTTTTTTATTTCTTCTTTTTAGTTATATATGACAGTAGAATGTATTTTGATATATTATAAATACATGGAGTATAACTTATTCTAATTAGCATCCTATTCTTGTGGTTGTGCATGATGCAGAGTTACACTGGTCATGTACTCAAATACGAGGCTAGGGAAGTTAGGTCCAATTAATTCTATTGTCCTTCCTATCCCCTCTCCCTCTCTTCTCTTAGCTTCCCTTTGTCTAATCCAGTGGACTACTATTCTTCCCTTCCCCACTCTCCCTTGTGGGTTAGCATCTACATATCAGACAGAACATTCAGCTTTTGGTTTTGGGGGATTGACTTATTGAGCTAAACATGATATTTAAAAGACAAAGCAAGCTTCATATTCACAGTCTGTCATGGCAAAGTGATTAAAGTTATGAATCAAGAGGTCCAGAGTTGGGATTATGTTTTCAATTAACCAAGAAGAAAGACTTCTTGTTAGATGACCCCATAGCCCCTTCCATCTTTTCTCCCTGTGACCTCTACAGCTTTATAAGTAAAATGATACATTGTTGGTCATTGAAAACTGAAGACTTATTTTAATGACACTTCTTCTTTTCAATAAAAGCACTTACAATGAATGATAGGTGGTAGAACCTTGGTTACTCTGTATTAAGACACTGTTTTCTTTGGAGTTGGTTAGCTTGCTAGAGCCAATAGGGCTGAGTGTTATATAACCTTTGTTCCTCTTATAATTTCCCTTTCAACATGATCTACTACTAGTCTCCCATCTTCTCATTTCCTTATTAAATGCAAACAATGTTTCACATCATTATTTCCACTTTACTATGAGATTTACTCTCCCCACCCTTCCTCACCCTCAAACAACAGGATGATAGAAGGAAACCACATATGATGCCCTGACCTTGTGCTAATGAAGGCTATTAGAAAATCCTCATTCACTGCTCCTGAAAGGACATTCCTGGGTGGGAGGTGTCCACAGGTCATAGCAGGGAAGGCTGGGTTTTATTTTCACTGTTCCCATCTTGGAGAAACACTCACAGGTGCAGTAAGGACAGCTTATCATAAAGCCATAATATGGAATGCTGAAGGACTGAAGCCAGGGGAACTGAGATCTTCTGGTTCCAAAATATAAAGACACACCAGAAAGAATCTGCACAGAACAAAAGTATGAATTAGAAGAGTCCAGAGATTTCAGGAATAATTGTTCAGAAGATGCCTTTTGAGATCTCTACAAACTTCTCCACATTACTGCTAGAAAGAACTCTTGAAATCCTTTGCACTTATTCTAAACATTAATCTTCCTTTACATGTGTAAACCTCTGCCTGGCAAAGGATGTTCATGGTTTAAGTTAATAAAAATAGACTATCATCTATATTATATATTCCATTTATTTGAAAGATCCTTATTGTCAATACTTTGTCCTTAACTTCCTCTGAACCAGTACACAATGGAGGATTAAGAAGTATACTTTTCTCTTGGTATGTAAGGGAGATCAACTCCAGGACACATGCATACAGATACCCAAATCTGCAGATACTCAAGGCCCTTTATTTCACAATAGCATAGTATTTGTGTGTAATCCCAAGTAAATCCTTCATATTTAAATGTATATATATATCCTTTGCTTTTAAATTAGTTTCATATATCTTATAATACCTAGTAGCATAAAAATGCTATGTATGTATTTTATACCATAGATATATAACTTATACATACTAAATAGTTTAGAGAATAATGAATAAAAAAAATTTTGCAGACACAGTACTTGTTTTGTATGTTTTGTTTGTAGTCAATTGCATCTTATAATCCATAAAGTATGTATTTGAAGGGATGACTGTACTCACTATTCTAATTATATCTCTACCATGTGTTACCCCTAAAAATCTTAGAAATCTGGAAACATACAGAACATTCCTGAGCAACACATATCCCTCCTTACTTCAATTCATCAATAAGTGTTGTTATTTACAAAGTTTGCATGTTGTATCCATGATGTTAATAATAATTTGGGCTTCAGAATTGCAGGTTTCAGGTTACCCAAAGCCTAGAATTGATAAACAGCAGAATGCAGTGTAGTACAGCAGAATACATAGTGAATCTCTTCATTTAAAGCTATGAAAAAGCAGCATTGTAATGTTGATTCAGGAAGGAATTCTGGAGATGAACTAGAGGAACTGCTAAGGAATCCACATAATACTTGTCCTAACTTGTACAGGGTATGTTGGGATATGCATAGCAATGATAGTGTTGGTGTACCTGCATATATCAGAATTGACTTAACAAGTGCCTGATACATAACATGGCAATCTTGAGTGAAATGCAATTTCATGTCTAGCTTTTAAAATTCTACATGGAAACCTTTAAATAATAAAATCAATCAAGTATCAAATAAAACAAAACATCTTATTTTATTGAAGTACATTTTTGTTACAGTAGATGATATAAGAACAAGACATCACGTTTTAAATGATATTCATATTCATATTCATCTCCAAATTCAGAAACAGAAGAACTCAACTTTGGCAATAGTATGTGCTCAGCTACGCTGAAATAGTTAAACCTAAATGAACCCCAATATTATGGATAACTATAACTCAATAATAAACAATTCTTAATAGAAATATGTTCTCCATAAATGTCATTGAAAGACATCTTTTCCTTCTGTAGGTTGAGCATGTCTGCATCACTGACACAGTAGTAGAGGGAATTTGATAATTTGTTCAGTTTATCTGTTGATTCATCTAAGTGAGGGCAAGATTTAGGAGCATGATAGATTAAGCAACTTTTTTAAAAGCATAAAACAGAAATATATTAATGTAAGAGATTCTCAGTAACCCACACAACAGGTGACCTAATACTATGGACTTTAGAATTTTCCAATAAATTTTAAAACATTTTCAAAATGCAAGAAGCATCTGGCTAGACCCCCCTAATACACTTCTCAGGGAGCTTGACTTTCACCTTGGGGAGTAGTGAATCCAACCAAACCACCTCTGCTGCTTACACAGCTGGCAGTTTTCTAACACCAGCAGGAAAGTCAGGCAGAGAGCTATGTTTTTTTGTGAGGGAATCAGCCAATTTTTCTGGGTTCTGAAGTCCCAGCCTATGAAGGTTTTATATGTCACCAAGAAGTCCCTTTTAAAAGCTCATTAGTAAGTACATGGGGCCAAAGTTAAGTAACTACATTCGAAGCTACCAAAAAAGACTGGATAAGAGGAAGAAGAAAAGTTGCACATTCTCTAATGTAAACTGTATTTCAATATATAACCTCCTTGAAGCATCAGAGACCCACCCCACAATCCTCAAAGCTGGTTTTACATGACAGAAGGTGAAGGGACAAACAAGGGGAAAAATTCTGTCCCAGAGAAGCACAGTTCACACTCACCAGCATAAATGTAAAATAGGTGTCCACAACATTTCCTTGTATAGAGACTTTGCTATAACCTGCTGCTAGAGCCAGGGTCATCGAAATGCATGAAAAACCAAAGATAAGGAGAGTAAAGGTCATGACAAAGAAAGTCTCCAACTGTGGCTTTGATCCTTAAAGAAAAGAAAGGATGAGTCCAGCTGGTATAGCTCCCTATGTACTTGTAAATATTTATTGTGCAAATGTCAGGATAATATTAAGCAAACAGTAAGAGAACAAAAATGATCATCCTCTGTCCTAACACCCTGGGTCACCAATTTCATTATTTCCCTCCATATAACTGAGAGGGGGTATCACTAAGTTCTCATAGACAAATTTCCACATGACTCTGTGATCGTGAATAGGGCTGTTAAATTTCTTAAAGTAGTTTATAATTATCATGAGCTAATGCTTTGTGTCATATGATCTGAAGATTTGGGAACAGCTGCAAAAACACTGATAGGAGTTCAGGGCTCCAGATTCCATGAATAATTCTTATCACATACATATATTTCTAAAATGGAAAATTTAAGCTCTATCAATGATTCAAACTCTATAGTGGGTTGTTAAAGAAACTTTTGGTTTGTGTGAATGTACGTGTTTATGTGTGTGTTTGTGTGTGTGTATCGGTGAAAATTATGGAAATGATAACTCAATGAGTCTGGGGTAAACCCAGAGTATAATTCACAAATGATATTGTCTACTTCATCAAACAAGCAATTTCATTAAATCAATAAACCCCAAAGTCATCATCTTTATCTAATTAGAAAAGTAAACATGAAGAGAATATAAGTGTATAATGATTTCTTACCTCTCTATATATGTCTCTACAGATATTAGAGGTATTTAATATCTTCCTATTGATATTTTATCTCTATATTGAAATATATACAGAGAGAGAGGAAAAAAATGTAGAAAAAGACAATAAATATCCTGGCTCCTCTAACACAGTTTCAAATAATTTTATAAATTTGGACCATATTTGTGTAAAACACACAGCATATGTATAGTTTTATAAGTGGGGATAGGTAAATTACCATTTTATAAGAATTTTTAATAGTTCAGTTGGGAAAAGGCTAGAAAACAGTGTCCACTTTAACCAGCTATTTATAGAGTAACCAATAGACACGTGCTTTCTCTCTTATAGATTGCTTTGCCATTTGGGGAACAAAATACATGTTTTCAAACAGAAGTTAACTTCTCCACATATCCAAAAGTAAAGAAACATTCTCTTTGTCTTGTTACTTATTGGCCATGAAGTATAGTGTATAATAAATATAAAACTTGTCAATATCATCTCGAGTAGTAAATCAAGCAAAAGACTTCCAAAGAAATAAGATGACACTCTGTAATACCCACTGATGGACTCATGTCTATAGAATAAAAACATACACCACCCAGGCCAGGTTAGTTTAAAAAGGCACAGCCCCAGATAAGATGCTGTTCAGACTCCTGCTGCCACCAGGTCTAACCCTGCAGCTGCCCACAAACTCTGTGCTCATCCCCCATGTCCTTCCCCATCGCAGGTGCATCGTCTCTGGGACATCAGTCCCATACTATAAACCTCTCCATGGCAGCACCCTTTCTGCTTCCATCCCTTCTGGCCCCACATCACCCCTCCAGGAACACAATCTGCATTTCCTCACTCTCCTCTGAGCCTCTGCTTTTCCTGAGGCTAGCTCACTGGAAAGGGCTAATATCAGTGGTAAAAGAGGCTTGGTAAAAGAGGCTTTTCTGGCTTGGCTTGGCACTCTGGTGCATGCCTATAATCCCAGAGGCCCTGGAGGCTGAGATAGGAGGATTGCAAGTTTAAAGCGACTCTCAGCAAAAGAGAGGTGCTAAGCAACTCAGTGAGACTCTGTCTCTAAATAAAACACAAAACAGGCATGGGGATGTGGCTCAGTGGTCAAAAGCCTCTCAATACAATCCCCAGTACCTCTTCCCTCCAAAAAAGAAGTTTTGCTTCTTCCCACCAGTGAATATGAAGGTGAACTTGTTATCTCATGACAAAGAGAGTCTCCATCCATAGCTTTGATCCTTAAATAAAAGAAGGGATGAGTACAGCTGGTGTAGCTCCCTGTGTACTTGTGAATATTAATTGTGCCAATATCAGTATAATATTAAGCAAACAGTAAGAGAAAAAAATCATCCTCTATCCAACATAGATGAAGATCCCAAAACCTCTTTTCAAATATATTCTGATGTTGAAGCAAGAAAATGATCATGCCTTTCCACAAGACACCCTTGTCAGATACCAAACCTTAATCTTTGCTATTCCTAATGCCTCTCTTTCGAAATTCCAAACTCTTTCACCACTACCTTCATTCCTTCCCTCTGTGGTGATCCCACTCCTGGGCATGTAGGCATGGGCAAATCTTCCCTATCTTTGAAAACTACAATGAACAAAACCATCCTGCTCTTTCCTGTAAGGCTGCCCTCTGGCTCTCTCCATTCTTTGATCCACTCAGGGCTCCGCTTGGCCACATACTTTGTAACCTTCATATCCCATCTCCAATTTGATACTTAACACTTAAATATCTACCAAAGCGCCTCAATTTTCCTTGAGACGGGCTTTATGACCTATTACTTTCTCAAAACTAAAGACAATTCTCAACCCTTTTATTCCTCACTTTCTCTGCAAAATGGGGACTTGCTAACTACACCCAAACCTTGATATATTTTTCCCTTAGTAGCAGACCTCATATGCTCTTGGTTTTCCACTCCATTGAAGACTGCTTTTCTCAAACAATATTGGTAAACTCTATATACTTTAAAAGCTTTTATTGTACAAGATAAATAGACACAATTTAAATATGACAATTTTAAACATAAGATATGGGAAAGAAATGAGAAGAAAATAAATTTTCCAGTTATCCCCATTATGAAATCCTTGGCCCAATTCTGGATGTGACCAGTTTGCCCACCAGGCTGCAATGCCTCTTCCCTGAACAGAGTCCAACTCACACAAACCGCTTCTTCTGGATCGTGAAGAGATCCACTGCCAATGTTCTTCTGCGACACAGGTAGACCATCAGGAAAAAGAGCATCAGTGCTCTGTCAAGAGAAAATGGAAATAAAAGCAGCTCAAATCAGAGCTCTTAGGTTGGTTTCTTTCCTCAGAACTCCTTCCAGAATTAATGTAAAATCAAAGACATTTTTTTTTTTTAAAATGGAACTTTTCCATTTAAACAGACAGGAAAGCATCACCCCATCAGGGCTCTCCCTGAGTGTCCTCAGTGGTGCCCTGGTTACTCCACACTATAGTACATATTGAAATTTCTGTGTGGACTGCTGTGCACTGACTTGTATTCACTAAAATTCATATGATAAAGAAATAACCTCCAATGCAATAGTACTGGGAGGCATATTTTAAATTTTTATTTATTTATTTATTTTGTAAAGAAATGACAGTAGAATGCATTAGAATTCATATTATTACACATATAGACTATGATTTTCATACCTCTGGTTGTATATAAAGTATGTTCACACTAACCCGTATCTTCATACATGTACTTTGGATAATGATATTCATCACATTCACCATCATTTCTAACCCTATTTCCCATCCCTTCTCCTCCCACCCCTCTGCCCTATCTAGAGTTTATCTATTCCTCCCATTCTCCCATCCCTACCCCACTATGAGTCAGTTACCTTATGTCAGAGAAAACATTTGGCACTTGTTTTTTTGAGATTGGTAACTTAAGTAATGAGGTTTAGGCAAAGTCATGAGAGTGGAGCCCCCATGATGGGACCAGTGCCCTGGTAAGAGCAAGAAACCCCAGAAACTCTATGCCATGAGAGATGCAGGGTGAAGGCGCCATGTATAGGCAGAGTGGGACCCTCACAGGAGCCACTGCTGGAAGGGAGCTCTGAACCCAAACTCCCAGGATCTACAACTGAAACAAAACAAAGTTTTGTCCTGTAAGTCCCCGAGTTTGGTGCATTGCTATGACAGCCTGTGCTAACACTTAGCTTATAAAATACTTTCACCTTGAATTTAACTCACAAAAATCCCGAGTATCATTCCTAATGTATGAAGAGAAACTTTAAGTTAAATAGAGCTTCAAAGGGTTAAGGTATTCAATTCAATTTGGTTTTGAAGTAAAGTAACAAAAGAGTAAAGGCATGTGGAAAGAAAATGCCAGAACTACACAAGACCACAAGAAAGCCTGGACACCATCCTTGATTTGGAACAACCACCTTCCTATGGGGTTTCCAAAGTGATAAAAAAAATCAAACTGATGTTTATTCATAGTAAAAATCAATTTGATCACCTGTGTAAAGACTATTAATATGTATATCAGTAAAATAATTGAGGGTTAGCAAGAAAAGTGTTCGGCTAGTTTATATTTCAAGTGAAATAAGGATTTCATGGGAGTTTGTCAACATCCTTAAAACATGGGCTTCCCTGCCTAATCAGACACCTAAACTGATATTACTATAAACATGTAAAGAGAGGGTATATGTACATCATTTAAATTACTTAAAAACAAGAGAAAGTTTTTCAAATGTAAACACAAGTGAACAATTCCAACTACCTTAAAGAATTTATAGAAAATTTTTTATTCATGCACATGAGAAGGTTTATTTGAAACCTATACATCATCATGCTTTCCCAGCCTGTATCCATGTTATAAAACAGCTATCCTCCCTACAAGCAGTAAGTACACTTTACTTCATCCAGATGTGGGTGTGAATGTGTACTTTCAATTTAAATAAACACTCTACATCACCCCAAATCACCCACTTAAGTCCATCCTTTTCGACAACAGCCTCTCATCAACAGAAAATTATGGTGCAGCCTGGGTTCTCTAGAGAGATATTTATCTCACCTAAGAAATGAAGAACTAAGAGTGTAGGCTGTTTTAAATATGGAAGTTCATCAATAATTAAAAAGAATGGAAAATAGTCAGGTGCAAGAGACAAACGGCCAAATAAGTTTTAGTACATAGTAAACCTAATATCAAGCTGAAAGTCCATGGGGAAACAATGGAATAGAAGAAAAATTCAATTAAATTTTTTTTCACATTTAACGATACAGTAATATTCATAATTATGAAAAAGGAAACAGTAAAATCCTTTCTAAGACAGAAGATGATTTACTTCATAATAAACAGGTTTTTATTATGAAAAATGTTTAATGCACTCAATGATTTTTAAGGTGGCAATTCATGTGCCATGTATAAATACAGATCAGATTTATTTTTATTTGTAAATTGACCAACTATACTCCTATATTTGTGGGGCACAAAGTGAAGTTATCCTTCAAGAATTCAATGCTAGTTGGGTATGGTAGTTTATACCTGTATTCTCAGGCACTCAGGAGGCTGCATCAGGAGGATCACAACTTCAAGGCCAACCTAAGCTATTTAGGGAGGCCCAGATCAACTTAATGAGACTCTGTCTCAAAATAAAAAATAAAAAGGACTGAGAAAAAAACATCCCTAGAGAGTAAAATGTCAATAACAAAAAGAGTCTATTATGGAGATCCATTACTTTTGAAATTCATGTACTTTAATTTTCATCATTTTTATGGTGAGAACATTTGGAGTTTATGCTCAGCAATTTTGAATTCTACACTATTATGTACTGCATTCACCACCCTGTTCAATGTATCTCAATAGAAAGAAGATCCTATTCTTCCTGCCTTCCTGAGATTTGTACCTTTGACCTTCACATACACCATTCTGGAATACACCATTCTACTCTGTCTTTAAAAGATTAAAAGTGTCAGAATTTACATATAAGCAAGAACTTGTGGCTTTTGTCTTTCTCAGTCTGGATCACTTTACTTAGCATAAAGTTCCCAATTTCGTCTATGGTGTCACAAATGGTAAAATTCCTTTTCCTGTGGCTGAACAGCATTCCCTGGGGCATTCACTTATTTTCCTTATCTGTTTGTTAGCTGACAGACACTTAGATTGATGTCCAAATTGACTGTTGTGCACAGGGCTACAATGAACATGGGAGCACAGATCCCTCTTCAACTAATTGACTTCAAATATTTTGTGTGAACACCCTGAAGTGGGATTCATAGATCCAATTAAAAAAAAACAAAACATCATTTTCCTAATTTGTTTAGCTGTCACAACAACACATTAAGGCTATAAAGTCAAAGTGGCTCACACTCTACACAGGATTCAAACCCAGTTCCTCAGTTACATATGTAAGAGGAATTGCTAAGATACCACTTGATTCCAAGAACAGTCCAAAACCACTGGCCTTCACAGCAATGTCAAATGAAGGACAGATATTCCTGCCCAAAGAATGTTCTAACCCCCTGGTTCCAAAGAAGAAGCTTACACATCATTTTCTTACCCAAACAATCATCACTAATCACCTGATCATCCAAAGCAGAGGTAGATGAGCACATGCACAGAGGCTACTCTCACAAAGCCCAAATATTCTTTAAAAAGTAGCTAATGATAGTCAAAAATGCAAATTAAAATAAGGTTCATGTGCAATTTCTCCAGAAAACATCTGAAGAAACGACTAGACTCATGAATTTCTCTGAAGTTTTTGACCTAAAGCTGTGATGGTCAGGTTTTCACTTCTTTCAAACTGCAGTTGATGACAGATT